ACTCAGGTCTCCAGGCTCCCCGTCCATGCTGCCTGTCTGCCCCGGTGCCCTCATTAGGAGAGCAAATCTGTCTACGTTTAAGTAAGGCTTTAAAGCCTATTTCAGTAAACAAATCACTTTAAGGGTGAAAATCAATTAAAAATCCAATCTCAATTAACAAGATGAAGAAATTAAATGCTAAATCCTCCTGTCACTGTCATTATTGATCTCTGCAGCTGCAGCCCAACAGTATTCCTGATAATCAGGAAGGGGCGTTTCTTCAGAATTCTGGGTCTTAAAAACCTGCAAACTGATGAACATTTATGTATGTGCACACATGCATATCCATGTGTACATGAGTACACTGATAGACTCTTTCTGGACAGAAAGATCCAATGGCTGAAACTGATTCCATCAGGAAATGTATCGAAAGTAGTCCCAGAGATGGCCCTGCGGTCAACGGCTGTTTTAGATCAGAGCATCCAACTCACCGTCCCCTCAAGGGCTGTGTTGAAGTCTTGTCCAGAGGAAGAACAGTCCCTCGGTGCCAGCAGCATGATGCTGTCCTTCACGGGTCATAGATTTTCAGGAGAGTATGCACTTCTCACACAGATGAGGAAGTATGGCTTAATTTCAGGACAGAGTCAACTGTGACAATTGTGGATATGGCACAGATCTGGAGGGGTAGCGGAGGAGTAACCAGGGTTGAACTTTGAAAGAAACCAGGGATTCTCAGAAGAGAGAGTGATTGGAATATATTCTGAGTATGGCAGACAGCCTGGACAAAGGTGAGGAGGTGGGAGATGGGTGGAGAGTTCAGGAAATAGCTAATAGAGCAGTTTGGCTGTCATGTAAAATGTATGATGGGGAGCCATTTAATCTGGAAAGTTTGGATGGAGCCAAGAATGGAGGGCCTCAGGGAGGGGTGAGGAATCACTCATTTATTCTGGAAAGATGGGGAATCTCTAGTCCCTCCAAGTACAGTGCTTTATCCGAATCAAGTCAGCACCACAATCATTAGGCCCCTCCTAGGGGCCAAGGACTCTACTGAGCTCTGAGAATGCAAAGAAAGGCAGAAAGAGGCCCGGCCCTAAAGAGCCTCAGTGTGGGATATGCCTTGTAGATAGTGAGGCATCTACCAGACATATACCGAGGGGCTGGAAGTTAATCCCAGGCTGAAGATATTAGTAGCTGAGGGACCAGGAAAGGCCTCCTACAGAAGGTGGGATTTGAGCTTGTCTTGGGAGAAGTCAGGGACAGGAGAAGGAAGAGCTTTTCAGGCATGGGGGTAGTCAACACAAAGGAATGGATGCAGAGGGTGGAATGTAGGGCCGAGAACTATAAGTGTGGGCCCACATTGGCTTGGTCATATCTCCCATTAGCGCCCTCCCAACCAAAGCCGTCTGGCTGGGAGAATGGCTTCCAAGACAGGAAAGTTGAGAGGGAGGGACATTCCCAATGCTAGCTAGCCTCCTCATTGATCTTCCTTCCTCCACCCCAGCTCCTTCAATCCATATTTCATAGTGCTGCCACATGAGTCTTCAAAATCCAGATCTGATCATCTCACTCTGCTGAGCAGTCTTCAATGGCTCCCTATGGCCAACCCAGTAAAGTTCAGCCTGCTCTACTGGTTCGAAGGCCCTTCCAACCCTAGGGCCACCCAACGTGGCTAGTCTTGGCCCGTGCTGCTCCCTTACCTGAATTCTGGTAAAGTGTCACCAAGACCAAACCAAAGGCTACCTTCTCCAAGACACCCTCCTTGAGCCTCATTAGGCTTTGTCCTTGCTCCTTGGCCCTCACAGGGCCATGACTCTGCCCACTTCCAATGCCCTGGTGACAGGAGGCAGAAGTAGAAAGAGCTCTAGAGTGAAGGACCATAAGCTCAAGTCCTGTCCCTGCCCCTTCCTACCTGTGTGACCTGGGGAACATCACTTTCCCTCCCTGGGCCTCAGCTTCTTCCTCTTTAAAATGAGATGTTTGGTCTAGAGAGCCTCAAAGTCTCTCCCAGGTCTCCTTTTCTGATGGTGGCTCTGATTGTGGTTGAGGGCTTCTGTCTCTACTAGACTGTGAGCTCCGTGATAGCGAAGACTGGGCCATACTATAAATAAAACAGGTCATGGTCTGTCCAGGGCTGCCTTTGGGGATCTTTGAGGTCAGGAAGAGAGATGACTGAGGCAGCCTATCCTGGATGAATGGGGCGAATCATCTCTGGACAGTATCACTACTTTCTATCCAGAGGCTCAAGGCTGAGTGAGGCCAGAATGATGGTCCAGTTTCTTTAATGGCTGGCTCAGGAGCCTGGGGATGGGAGGAGGATTGCATGGACGAGCCGTCCAAGCTAAGTCTTCCTAAGGGTGGGTAGCATGCTGATTTGATAGAAGGATTCTATTCTCCCACCAGCTCTAGTTTGGGTTTGTGAAGCCTAGAAGGCAAGGACACAAACTGCAGGAGAATGCACCTGATGGAGGGGGATGGAAGACAGAGACAAGACATGCAAAGACAAGAGACAGAAACAATCAATAAACCTACATAGATACTGTTTCAACCAGTAAGGATCCAAAAAGAAGACAAAAAACAAACAAAAACCACGATCCCTGCTCTAAAAAAGCTCACGGTCTATTGGAGGAGATGACATGCAAACAACAATGTACAAACAAGTTATAGACAGGATGGATTGAAGATTAACAACAAAGGGAAGGCACAAGGATTGAGGGCAGTTAGGAAAGGTTTCTTGTAAAAGGTGGAGTTTTATGACAAATGTTGGAGAAAATGTGGGAAAGTTGGGACACTAATGCATTGCCGGTGGAGTTGTGTACTGATGCAACCATTCTGCAGAGTAATTTGGAACCGTGGCCAAAGGGCAACCAAACTGCATACCCTTTGATCCAGCAATACCACTGCTAGGTCTGTATCCCAAAGAGATCACAAAACAGGGAAAAGGATCCACATGTTCAAAAATATTTATAGAAGCTCTTTTTGTGGTGTCAAAGAATTAGAAATTGAAGAGATGCCCATCAGTTGGGGAATGGCTGAACAAGTTGTGGTATATGAATGTAAGGGAATACTATTTCACTATAAGAAAAAAAGGCAAATTTCAGAAAAAAAAAACCCGTAAAGATTTACGTGAACTGATGCAAAGTGAAGTGAGCAGAACCAGGAGAATATTGTTGTACACATTAACAACAAACAACATGGTATGATGATTGATTATGATTGACTTGCCTCTTCTTAGCAATGCAATGATCCAAGGCCGTTCCAAGACTCAAGATAGAAAATGCTATCCACATCTAGAGAAAAAAAGATGGAGTCTGAATGCAGATTGAAGCATACTATTTTCACTTTCTTTGTTTTTTTTTTAATGTTTTTTCCCTTTTGTTCTTTTTCTTCTTTCACCACATGACTAATGTGGAAATATGTTTTACATGATTGCACATGTATAATCTATATCAGATTGTTTGCCATCTTGGGGTGGAGGGAAGGGAAGAGAGGGGATGAAATTTGGAACTCAAAATCTTATAAAAATGAAAGTTGAAAATTGTCTTTATATGTAATGGGAAAAATACTATCAAACATTTAAAAAGGTGGGGTTTTAGCTAGGAATTGAAGGAAACCAGAGAAGTCAAGAATTTGAGATGGGGACGGGGAGCATTCCAGGTCTGGGGAGAGACAGTCAGAGAAAATACCTGGAGATAGGACAGTTTTCTGCAAGGTGCACCAGGAGGTCAGTGTCTCTAGATTGAAGAATATCATGGGGTAGCAAGGGGTAAAAAGACTGGAAAGGTAGAAATGACAAGGATAGGAAGGCTTTAAAAAGCCAAACAGGATTTTATATTTGCTCCTGGAGGTAATAAGAAGTCACAGGAACATGTGGGGAGGGGGTGAGATGGCTAAATCTGAATTTTAGGGAGATCACTGACAGCTGTGTGAAGGAGGTATTGGGAGGAGACCCAACTGAGAGGCAGACCCAGACCCCATTAGCTATTGCTATAATCCAGTTATGAAGTGATTACATCCTGTACCAAATTGGTAGCCGTTTCAGAGGAGAAAAGGGGGCAGATTCAAGAGATACCATAAAGGTGAAATTGACAGGCCTTGGCCAGACTGGAGATATGTATGGGGAGTGGAGGACGGATAAGCACTAAGGGCTAGAGCATAACCTTGGGGGGCAAGCCCGGAAGATGGGGAGAATGTTGCTGTTCTTAGCAGTAATAGGAACCTCAGGAGGCGGGGAGGGTTTGGCACAAAGACGATGGGTTCGGTTTGGGATGTTGGGTTGAAGGTGCCTTCCGGTTATTCATTTCTACATGGAGAATATTGGTTGGAAGGCCCTTCCAACCCTAGGGCCAATCCCTGCTCTTAGGGATAGGGATTTCTACATGGCCAATGGGCGGTTGAAGACTCAGGACTGGAAGTGAGAAGAAAGGTTAGGGGTGGCTAAGTAGACTGGCGAATCCTCAGCATAGGGCTGGTCATTGAATCTGAGAAATGATGAGCTCCCCAGACAGACACACAGACAGACAGACAGATGGCAGGTAGTGTAAGATCTCACAGCGAGAGGCACGTGGCCTTTGGACACCTCTTCGCACCGAGCAAGAACGGGCAGGAGAGTGCACGCAGTCCTCCAGCCTGGGAACTCCTACCCAGTTTGAGAGGAAAAGGGCCGGGGCCCAAGGCACACAGGCAAAAAAAAAAAAAAAAAGGAAAAAATGGCAGAGCTTGTCTCTGCAACTGGGGCCTCTGCTTTCTGGCCTTGGGTTCGAGTCCCAGATCCTCTGCCCTCTCACGTTTCCCTTCTCCAATCTGGGCCTCAGTTTCCCCATCGGTAAAGTGAGGGGAAGGGGTGAGCTTTCCTTCAGCCTCCCAGGGACCCAGGCCCAGCCCATGCCCAGCTCCGGTCTGCCCGGGTGGGCGGCCCTCGGCTGGGGGCGGGAGGCGGGACGGAGGCGGGCTGGGCGGAGGCGGAGGCGGAGCTCCGGGGAGGTGCTGCTCGTGAGCAGCCAGAGCAGCCGCAGCAGCGGGCGGGCAGGCGTGGGGAGAGGCGGCGGCGGCGGCGGCGGTGGCGTCTCGGGTCCGGCTCCCGGTGAGTGCCTGCGGCTCGGGGCTCGGGGCTCGGGGCTCGGGTCGGGGGGCTCAGCGCGCAGCGCCGTCCGCAGGGGCTCCAGCCTTCTCTCGCTCTGGCCGGGGCGCTGGACGAGCTTGACCCTCTCCCTCGCTCCTCTCAGCCCTTTCCCCATGCCCGCCCCTCAGTCCCCGTGCCCTGCTCTGCCCAGCCCAACCCTGGGCAGCCGCCTCCAGTCCCCGTCCCCGCACGCCCGCCTCCTCCCGGGCTCCTCAAGATGCCCCATTCCCTCTAGAACGAGAGCGGAGGCCCCCAGCCCCAAGGTGAGCAGGTTCTCCTCCTCCTGCCCTGGTGGACCCTCAGCCTGGCCACAGATGGGTGGCGGGTCCCCGCGCGCCACACCCGCCACCACACACACACACACACACGCGCGCGCGCACACACGCACACACACACACACACGCACACACACACACACACACACACCTGTCCCCTCCCTCCCCAGCCACCTGCCCACTCCTGGCCTCCCCTGATCCGGTAGATCAGACCCCCTCCCCTCCGCCCTTTGCTGTTATCCCCGGATCTTGAGATCAGAGGACGTGGATCAGAAAGGGAGCTTAGAGATCCCTTGGTTCCGAGCCTCTCCCCCATTTGACAGAAGAGGAATCCGAGGCGCGGCCCCTGTAGCCACAGCTCAAGGCCCTTTTGCAGCGTCCGAAGTGCCCAAAGCGTCACGAAAGAGATTCCCCAGGCCCACTGGGCTGGGGCGCATGGACTCGTGTGGGCTGGGGGTGCCGCCGGATTCGGGGAGGGCTACCGGGTGCCTTTCTTTGTATCCGCAGCCCTCAGCCTAGAGCCCGGAGCGGGCTCGGTGGGAGCGTATCTAGTGCCTGTGGTTTGATTCATTAGAACAGACACTGAACCGGGAGTCAGGACACCTGGCTTCTGGTCCTGACTGTTAGCTGTCTTTGATCGAGTCACTCTTTCTGGGTGTCAGTTTCCCCGTATGTCAAATGAAAGGGTTGGGCTGGATGGTCCCTCCAAGTGCGGCCATTCTAAGAGGATTGTGTGTGTGGGGGGGGGGGTGTAGCCCCTTTCAGCCCCTCCTTGGGGAGGGTGTTATCCATCCCTGTGCCCTCTTAGGACGGGACTGTCACTGGCCCTCTGGAGTCTCTCATGGGGCCCAGGGGCTGGCTTTAATATCCCTGCTCTTAGGGATCTGGGCCAGTGGCATGTGCAGTCCCCCTCCCCCTTTAGTCCATTTCACCCTCTCTCATTTCCCTTCCGGAAACTTTCCATGCTTTATTTACAGTTCCCCTTTCTGGCGTCAGCCGAGTGTGGGACTCCTTCCCCAAAGTGCTGGGAGGGATCCCAGAGCAGGCTCGGGGCCCTCTAGGGCAGGACCTGGTCCTTTCGTGGTGGACCCCCCCCCCCCGCCCCCGGCCTTTGGAATCCATGGGCTTTGAGCCCTCTGGTCTCCGCTGTGGCTGGCAGGTTTTGTCATTGGGGAGGGCAGCCGCCAGGCAGGGCTGTTTTCCCCGCATGTTTCTCAGTGCCTGGTGTTGCTATAGCGACCACTTTGCTCGCTCAGCTCTCCTGACTCTTCCGGGAGCCCGTTTTTTATTGGTCTGTTGTCCTGTCCTTTATGGCTCTAATTTCTCCTTTCTGCCTCCCTGGGAGATAAACAGTCACAGACAGGGAACTGGGCTGGGCTGGGCTAAGCAGAAGGATGAGGACGCAAGGCTAGCCAGCAGGCTAGCTTAACACGTCTGCCAGGGGCAGCCTGGCAGGATAGGCATCTGGGATCCCCCTCTGCCTCTCTCAGATGCCCCTGGTTTGGGGACGATGGGTAGGTAGGCTGGTGGCTGAGCCCACAGGAGGGGGCAGCAGTACCCCTAGTCCTGGGGGTGGGGTGGAAGGGGGCAGGACTTGCCCACTGGCCACACCCCAAACCCATGGGTCCTGTGAGTTTCTCAGCCAGGGTTTCCCAAACAGAGCCCCTCTCGGGTCTGGCAGTTACAAGAATGTGACAGCTGACAGTAAAAAGGGATGGGACTTGTGCAATCCTCGTGTTTGTGAGCCCTGGACGCCACCAGGCAGCCAACCGGTCAGTGGTCAAGAGTGAGAGCGAGCGAGAGCTGCCTGTGACTTCCTGTTTGTGCTGCTCACCAGTAGTTTGCTGGAACATGCCCTTCAGGGAGGCCATGCGACCGGATGCTTGAGGGGAGATGTGGACAGGACCCCGGTCTACCCAGGGACAGCAGAGAGGGTTCAGAGGGAGTCAGCACTTTCATTGTGCTGCCCACAATGGACAGTGCCGCCTCACCTAAAAAAAGAAAACCAAACAAAAACAGAAGAAAAAACAAGCCAGAATTGATGAGTGCCATCTACTTTCTAGAAGAGAAAACTGCAAAGAAATTACTTTCTCAAGGATCGCAGTCAGTGGGGGTCACCAGGTTGTTGCAGTGTGGTTTGGGTGGTGGCATCTTTGTTCTGGGTGACTCCCAGTGAGGAACACAAATCAGTCTGAAGCTCTTCTGTGTCTTAGCTTTGAAAGCTCTCCTGGGTGTCGAGTGTTCAGGGTCCCTCAGCTAGACTGTGTCTGCAGTGGGGCTGGGTGCTAGGCTTGCCCAAGCCCAAGGTGCTCTCCTTCCCCACTCCACACCGCCTCTGCTCACAGTGCCAGCTTACCAGCTGGTCTGGGCTGTGAAGTTCACAATGTGCTCTGTAGTGAGTGGCCAACATGCTAGACTTGGGGGCAGGGTGACATGGGCTCAAATTCCCCCTTCAGACACGAGGAGCTCATTGACCGGAACCAAAAAGGAGTCATTCGTTATTCCAAGTTAAACCATTTACCCTCATCAGTTTTCTCATCTGGATGGTAAGAGTTCTTTCTTCACGGGGATGGCATGAGGCTTAAATACAACAAGGTCTTCAGAGAGCTTTGCAAAGTATGGGGCTGTGCGTTGTTTCTATTATTACTTAGAGGAGCCATATTTGATCTCACCTGAGCCCCACGGACTCTCAGTAGCAAAGCCCTTCTTATTTCCATTGGTTGTGTTGGTGACAGTGTGTGTCTTCCCTTAGTCCCCAGCTGAAGCCTGGTGGCTGGAATCCAGAGGAAGTGGCATGCTTCCTTGGCCACAATGACCCCAGGCCCATGGCAGTCTGCAGGTCGTCCTCACCTGGGACTTGCCCACTGGACATGTCCCCAGCCTCTTGGTTCTGATGGCAATTTCACAACCACCAGCCACCTCCTGCACTCTCTGCCAGCCTTCCAAGGTCCATCTCTGCTTCATACCCATAAGACCCAGGGAAGAAGGAATAGAGCCCTAACATAGCTCCCTACCCCACATCTGACGTAGGGAAAACCAGACTGCTGAGCTATGGAGAGTGGCTGGGACCTTCCCCGAAGGCACCGTCTAGCTCCAGAAAGTCTGGTCTTATGAGGATGCTTCCATCTGCTCTCTAAGGAGGGGTCCCAGTGACTCTCTACCTCAGCTATGCCGCCTGGCCTCAGGACCCTCCATAACCACAGCAGCAGGCCCTCCGGGCTAATTCTGGCCCAATGGATCATCGGATAGCCGTGTGAAGGAGCCCTCTGCTCTTTGCTCCGGGAGGGGGGGGGGACTGCATATGCTCATGGTTATATGATTGCATGGTAGATGGTCTGTGGTGTCTCCCAGTGGTCTGGAACTGGGCCAAGGCTGGATTTGTCTCTGAGTAGGAGGGGGAGGAGCTGGGCAAGCATGCTGTCGTGGGAGAACTGCTTTCTAGGAAGTCCTATAGGACCCTAGGCCCACTGCCTGTGGAGGAGGGGCAGGCGACCTCACCTGGGTCCTGTTACATCAAGCAGTGGGTGTTTCTTTTCCATAAAAGAAAGTACTGCATTATATCCAGAGAGGAAAAGGACCTTAGAGGCCAACCTCCCTCATTTGAAAGATTAGGAAATTAGGGCACAGAGAGGTTTAAGATCTTCCAGAACCACACAGCTAGTAAGTATCTGAGGCAGGATTTGAACTTAGGTCTTCTGATTCTACAGTCAACGCCTTTTCCACTGTTCCTTGCTCTGGTCCAACCCGTTCCTGGGCTGGCCACTGGTAAACTTATAAGCTGTAGCCGATCAGGAGAACCATGTCCTAAAGTACAGATGGGCTGTGATCCTGTGAGGAGCAGAAGGAGCCATTCTAGCAAAAATCGCAGAATCGGCAAATATTGAAAGGGACACAAAAGTGAGAGCGTCCCAGACTGAAGGACCTCAAATGATCCTTGTGGAGAGTGATACCTAATGATGGAGGACAATTCTAATGGAGGTCTCCAGTGGAGTGCCCCAGGGATCTGCGCATGCCTCTATGCAGCTTACTTTCTCTCAATGACTTGAATGACGTTACAGGTGCCATGTGTATCTCATTTGCAGATGGCACAAGCCTGGGAGGGATGGCTAGCCCACTGGCTGACAGGTTTGAATATCAGGCTTAAATGGAGTAAGATGAAATTCAACAAGGTCTTATACTGTACTACAAAAAATCCAAGTCCATTAGCACAAGATGGAGAATACATAGTAAGACAGCAGTTTGTCTGAAAAAGAGCTGATGGTTTCGGTGGGTTCTGAGCTCAAAAAAGAATGTGCCTTTTGAGGTGGGAAACAAAAAAGCCAATACATTCTGGGACTGTGACCTCAAGACGCTAGAACATTGTGGGGAATTAAATTGGATGAAATTTAATAAGGATACGTTTTTAAAGCCTTACCCCTGGGTTCAAGAAACTGGCAAGACACGGGAGGACACCTGTGGTTAGACGGCTCTTTGTATGAAAAAGAGCTGGGAGTTTTAATGGATTACAAACTCAATGTGAGTCAGCAGTCTGGTGTGAGTCAGGACATCGAAGTCGATCTTGTGCTCCCAGGAAGGGGGAGGTGAGTCCCACTGGGCTCTGTCCTCACCAGCCCTCCTCCAGAGGACCCTGCTCAGTCCTGGATGCTACAGGTTGGGAAGGACAGGATGAGCTGAGAGTTGCCGAGG